AAGAAGGGTCTAGGCCCGAAACGTCAGCCTTCCTGCTCCTCTGATGCTGCTTGGCCTGCTGTGTTCATCCAGCTCTACACCTTGTTATGTTAGCTTCACTCCTGGTTCCCTGTATGTTTACTTCCTCAAACTGTCAGATTAAGTATTTAAAAATTTTGAATATTAGAAAGAGCATGAGACATGTTTCAGGAAATGAGTCAGCCATACATAAAGTAGATTTAATTTTCACTTTTCAGGATTCTTTAGACTTGCAACATTGTACTGCCCAATTACTGAAATGATAACAGTACAAACTCCATGTGGTTTCCAACCTGATTTTATACCTAAATTACTTAACCAAGGCTACAGTTTCAAAAACTAGTCCTGAGGAGTGTTGCTGAACAAAAACACCTTGGAGGGCAAGTTCATAGTTCCTTGAAAGTGGAGTCGCAAGTAGACAGGATAGTGAAGAAGGTGTTTTCCTTTATTGATTAGTGCATTGAGTATAGGAGTTGGGAGGTCATGTTGCGGCTGTGCATAATGTTGGTTAGGCCACTTCTGGGTACTGTGTGCAATTCTGGTCGTCTTGCTATAGGAACGATGTTGTTAAACTTGAAAGGGTTCAGAAAAGATTTATAAACATGTTGCCAGGGTTGGAGGGTTTGAGCTATAGGGAGAGGCTGAAATAGGGTGGGGCTATTTTCCCTGGAGCGTCAGAGGCTGACCTTATAGAATTTATAAAATCATGTGGGGCGTAAATAAGGTGAATAACCAAGGTCTTTTTCCCAGGGTAGGGGAGTTCAGAACCAGAAAGCATAGGTTTAAGGTGAAAAAGGAAAGATTTAAAAGGGACCTAAGGGGCAACTTTTTCACACAGAGTGTGGTGCATGTATGGAATGAGCTGCCAGAGGAAGTGGTGGAGGCTTGTACAATTACAACAATAAAAAAGCATCTGGATGGGTATATGAATAGGAAGGGTTTAGAGGGATATTGGCCAAATGCTGGCAAATGGGACTAGATTAATTTAGAATATCTGGTCAGAATAGATCAGTTGGGCTGAAAGGTCTGTTTCCATGCTATACAGCTCTATGACTGTTAAATGTGAATGCCATTTCTGCAGCATTGCTTTTGCAGTGAAATCATTTTCATCTCATGCCATCTGTATGTCTTTTAAGTACGGAAGAAGTGGAGTTCTAGTGTAATCATGTAACTGTCTCTTTTCAGTTAACCTTGGACAAAGTTACCTTTTCCCAGTTCAAAATATTTCACTTGGGAAAAACTGCCCCCGAAATGAGTAAAGGAAAATAAATTGGCTAAGTGTTTATTAATCTCCTTGTAGATGTTTTCTAATTAATCTGTAGGGACACTACCAGTACACAACAAGAGCCCCCTTCCATCCTCTTTGTATTGGG